TTGTTATTTGATGCATTTTAGTTAGGCTCAAACCCAGTGAATTTATATGTGTATGTGTATATATTTCCCATATAATACTTTCCTTATGAACTACTATACTAATTCGGGCACTTCACCCCAAAATGATTTCTAAGCTTCGGGGACGAAGCTTCTTGTAAGGGGGGGGGGGGGGGGAGGGGAGTGTAACACCCCGTGTTACGGCCCTTAATCCCGAATTAATTATTTAATTAATTCCATTAATAATAATTAAAAAGGATTTAATTTGATTAGAAATCCCTTTAATTAATTAAACGTGGTCCACCACGGATCATGGACCCTTGACTAAACTAGAGTCATAAGCCTATTATGAATAAAGAAAGTATACCTTTACTATTCCGATTATGGTTAGGATTCTCTTTAATTAATTAATATGGTCCACCATGGTCCATGGGCCCTTATCCCTAAAGCCAACCCCTTAGTTCTATAAGGAATAGAATTAGTAAACCCATGCCACTTAGACCATAATTAGGACTCTTAATTATATAAATAGGGACATAGAAGGCACCTAGAACACACACCAAAAATAATCCCTCACCACACAAGAAAGTTCCAAGAACTCCCGTAGTAGAAATCAAGAAAGGAGAAATCTTAAAGAAAGACCCTTCATAGCCAAGGAAATTAATTAAGGCTAAGAGGTAACCCATGTCTCAACAGAACCTATTTTCATAGCTATGACTCCCCTCTTAGGATTTCCCCATATTATTGTGTATTGATGATTTGTGATATTATTATTGATGATTGGCGGGGTGATTCCATGGGTGATCTTGATGATGGAAGGTTCTTGATAATTATGGTGTTCTTGATGATTATATGACGTTCTTGATGATTATATGATGTTCTTGGTGATTGTAGGATGTTCTTGATGTTTATGTGATATTCTTACCGAATCTTGATATTAGAAGATGAATTGTGCCCTTGTTGATTTAAAAGTGATTAGAACCCTAGGTTGTATCGTATGGAATATTTCTTGGTATATTGGGTGGGAATTCGCATGATTGGGTGTTTATTATGTTTAGAAAATAATGATAGGTTATGTGCCATATGTTTCTCGATCTTTGATCCGTTAATTGTTTACGTGTGTTGTCAATTGCGTTTGAAAGTGTCTAAGCATGGTTTCGGGTTCCACAAAGGTTCCCGGGGCATTTTTGTGATGAAAGAGTCAGTGGGGGGTAGGGGACCCGCCACCTACCCGCGGCCTTCTTGGGCAACGCCGGCAGCGGGCAGCCGGTGGGCGGGCAGCTGCCCGCCGGGCACCCGCTGCCCGAAGTTGCTACCGCCGGCGGGTGATCCCTCACCCACCGGCTACCCGCTGGTTTGGACCCCAATTTGGGATTTCGGCTTCCCCGTTTGATGTTCCCCCGACCCCCGTGGTGTCCCAACGGACTCCGTCTATCGTGCCTATATCTAGTTTGATTTTCGGGTACCGTTCGTAGGTCGTATGAGTCTTATATATTGCATGCTAGTTGAATTGGTATCCCGTTGACCTAGGTGAAAGAAGTATGAACCCCTTAGGAATATTCTTAGTATGTGAAGGATCACGCATAGGTTTTGTTATACGTTTTCTCCCCCTTCCCAATGTGTTAATGTGGGTTGCATGTGCTTGCTGTGTGTTATGTGTGCATGTTACCCCGACTTGGTTGAGATCAATCGGGCTATACGGGCAGTCGGGTGGGCTGAGAACCATACCGGCTGTTAACCAGGCTCGTAGAGACCGGTCAGGTATATAAATATTATATAGGACTAAGATCCACTATACGGGCAGTTGAATGGGTTGAGTACCATCCCAACTGTTAACCAGGCTGGTAGAGACCGGTCAGGTATATAAAGATGATGTATAGGACTGAAGGTCCACATGGGCCTCAGTGATATGACCCACCGACCGGGATGCGCCAGGCGGTATGGGGCCAACAAGCCGAGGAAGGTTGTAGTCCACCGACCTGAGTAATCAGGCGGTGTGTAGGGCTACGACTGGCTGCGATCCACCGAGTGGTGGGACATCGGTATGCAGGACCGTAGTCTCCGAGGATCTTTGCCCACCGACTGCGTTTAGCTCAGCGGTGTGTCGGGCTTGATCCGCTACGGCCCGCCGATTGTGCGCACCAACGGTGTGTAGGGTCGTAAGTCCCCCCTTGTAAAGGGGATCACGGTCCACCGACTGGGCGCGTCAGCGGTGTGTCGGATCGTGGTCCGACGTTGAGTTCGTCAGCGGTTCTCCAAGGGTTGGTTGTGATCAACTCCCCTCGTACTGCGGTACTGAGGTAGGGTGCTGCGGGGCCGTGTTAATGCTATAGGCATTAACTCTCATGTTCGGGGCATGCGATTGGTCCCGTGGCGCCATCGATGATTATGTGATATAAATGATGATTGATTGATGATGTGTTTGAATTGAAAAGTGATCTGTGACCTTAGATGCGTATTCCTTATGATGTTATCTCTACTTAACCGTTTATCATTGATTAATGTGCTTGTCCCTATTTGCTGAGTCTATTCCCGGTTTTAAAGCTAGAGTCTCCTAAGCATATATCTTCCTGCTTCAAAATGGTTTTCCTATATCTATATCTATATATATACCTATATTGTATTTCAACGCGTTGGAGTGGGTTACCAGCATCTCTTGCTGAACAGATATATTTGGCTTTCAGGCACAGAGAAGTAGACACTAGAGCGCGCTAGAGATTTGGAGCATAGAGTAGATAGTTTCCCTTTCGGCCTGCGTGCCATGCTCATGTAATTACATTATTGAGGATATTAGTTAGTTAGCCTGTTCACCTGAGTTCTCTAGCTCAGGTGTGGCATAGCACCCCGTACTCTATTATATTATGTTTTGGGATTTAATGAGAATTTACCTTTATTTTATAAGTCTTAAAAGTTTCAAAATTTCGGGGTGTTACAAGGAGATTATAGCGAAGAAAATAGGTTTTGTTGAGACATGGGTTACCTCTTAGCCTTAATTAATTTCCTTGGCTACGAAGGGTCTTTCTTTAAGATTTCTTCTTTCTTGATTTCTCCTAAGGGAATTCTTGGAACTTCTTGTGTGGTGAGAGATTATTTGTGGTGTGAGTTCTAGGTGCCTCCTATGTCCCTATTTATATAATTAAGAGTCCTAATTAGGGTCTAAGTGGCATGGGTTTACTAATTCTATTTCTTATAGGACTAAGGGATTGGCTTTAGGGATAAAGGTCCATGGACTATGGTGGACTCCTTTTAGCTAATTAATGGATTTTAATTCCCTTTTTAGGGTCGGTGATAATTTTAATTGATTTGGTTTAAGGGCCGTAACACGGGGTGTTACACTCCCCCCCCCCTTACAAGAGGCTTTGTCCCCGAAGCTGGTGCGTGGGTCCATTCTTTCACCCCTAGACGTCACGTATTTTGGCCTCTTGATTAGGAAATGTGGCTTGACGTGTTGTATTTGCTGGGGTAGACTGGATTTCTGGTGAGGTGGTGGTTTGGAAGGTTCGGGTCTACCTTGGTTTCCTGCTCCTGAGCTGGATGCTCCGTGAGTGCCCAACATGGCCTCGATAGTTGCCACCCTTTGGTCCAAAGCGCGTGTTGCGCGGATTAGGGACGAAAATCCTCCGTCCATGATTTAGTTTTGCCGGGTGAGTTGTGCGAGGATTCGTTTGTTGATGGATTCTTCGTTTCGGTCCCTTGGGTTTCCCCTTGCCTGAGTGGCCATCGGTGGGTTAGGCTCGCCCTCTTCTTCTTGCTCTTCATTTCCCTCCATTCCCCCACATTCTTGCATTGCCCTTTTGAGTTTCTTGTTGGAGATATCCAATTGGTCAACCAATTCCCTTCGTTCCTCCTCGGGCTTAAGGCAAACCTCTTCGAGAGTGATGTATTGTCCCCCTTCGATGTAGTAGATGTCATTGCGACGGAGATTCTGGGCATTTAAAACCATGCAGCTTGCGGTCTTGACCTCTGTGTGGCTTAGGTCTACTCCCTTTTTCTCCATGATCCAACTTAGGATCATCCCATATGGTAGGCTAAGCCGGTTGCTAGTCTTGCAAAACTCCATGTGTTTCAACATAAGGGCTGGTAGATTGAAATTGATTTTGTGCTTTAGGAGGTAAGCAAAAGTGCACTCCAAACTTCCCACGTCCTTGCTTTTACTGTAACACCCCGAAATTTTTAAACATTTAGAACTTATATAATAAAGGTAAATCCTCATTAAATCCCGAAATCAAACATAAGAGTATGGGGTGCTATGTCACACCTGAGCTAGAGAACTCAGGTGCGCAGGCTAACTAACTAAAAATCCTCAAAGTAATGTCAGTACATAAGCATGGCACGCAGGCCGAAAGGGAAACTAGCTACTATACGCTTCAGATCTCTAGCGCGCTCCGGTGTGTACTCATCTGTGCCTGAAAGCCAAATATATCTGTTCAGCGAGAGATGCTGGTAACCCACTCCAACGCGTTGAAATAAAATATAGGTATATATATATATATATATATATATATATATATATATATATATATATATATATATATATAGAGGAAAAACCATTTTGAAGCAGGAAGATATATACTTAGGAAACTCTAGTTTTAAAACCAGGAATAGACTCGACAAACAGGGATAGGCACATTCAACAGTTATAATTAAGCATATACAAACACTAGCATATCTCCTAAGGTCACAGTTCACTTTCAAATCATTCACATCATCATCCAAACAACATTCATATCACATAAGTATTGGTGGCGCCACGGGACCAATCGCATGCCCTGAACATGAGGGTTAATGCATATAGCATTAACACGGCCCCGCAGCACCCTACCTCATACTGCAGCATGAAGGAAGTTGATCGCAACCAACCCTTTGAAGACCGCTGACGAACTCAACGTCGGACCACAATCCTACACACTGCTGACGCGCACAGTCGGTGGACTGTGATCCCCTTTACAAGGAGGGACATTCGACCCTACACACCGTTGATGCGCATAGTCGGTGGACCGTAGCGGATCAAGCCCTACACACCGCTGAGGGACTCAGTCGGTGGGCGAAGATCCTCGGAGACTACGACCCTACACACCGCTGTCCCATCACTCGGTGGATTGCAGCCAGCCGTAGCCCTACACACCGCCTGATTACTCAGGTCGGTGGACTACAGCCTTCCTCGGCTTAATGGCCCTAAACACCGCCTGGCGCGTCCAGGTCGGTGGGTCGTAGCACCGAGGCCCATGTGGACCGCAGCCCAAGAAGTGAATCAATTCGGCCTTTAGCCAACTTCTGAACCTCAGCTCAGGAACAATCCATTCGGGCTTCAGCCAACTTCCGAACCGCAGCCAGGGAACACCCAATTTGATCTTAACCAAAATGGGGGATCATGCATCACATAACATATAGGAGCACGTAGAAGCACATTGGGAGGGGAAGATATATAAATAAACTTACGTGTGATCATTCACATACTAAGAATAGTCCTAAGGAGTTCATACCACTTCCACCTAGGTCAACGGGTTACCGATTCAACTAGCATGCAATTACTAAGACTCTTTTATCCTACGAATGGTACCCGAAATATTAAACTAGACTCAAGCACGACAAACGGGGTCCGTTGGGACACCATGGGGGAGTAGGGAACATCAAACGGGGGAGCCAGAGGCCTGCAGTGGGCAACAAACCAGCGGGTAGCCGGTGGGTGGGGGTCATCCGCCGGCTGCCCGCCGGAGATCACTGTTCGGGCAGCGGGTTGCCGACGGGCAGGCGGCTGCCCGGTGGCGATCTTTGGGCAGCGGGTAGGTGGCGGGTTCCCCTATCCCCACCTACCCCCCACTGACTCTTTTATCACAATTTCGTCCCGGGATCCGTTGTGGAACCCGAAACCATGCTTAGACACTTTTAAACGCAATTAACGACACTACGTAGGCAAATAATGGATCAAAAGCAAGAATCACGTAGAACTCATCCTATTACGACTTCTTAACATAAACAACACCCGAACATGCGAATTCGCACCCAAATATATATCAAGAACGTACAACACAAATTCCCAACCCAACCTAGGGCTCTAATCCCACCCAAATCATCAAGATCATATTTTATCTTTATCATCAAGAAATATCAAGATTCGTCAAGAATCATCACATTAATATCAAGAACCTCTTTTCAATATCAAGATCATCAAGATTATCAAGAACACACATAAATCATCGAGATTATATCACAAATGTCATAGAGGAATTCATCAAGACACAAGCATATAGAAGGAGGCCAAGGAAGGAGATTATAACGAAGAAAATAGGTTTTGTTGAGACATGGGTTACCTCTTAGCCTTAATTAATTTCCTTGGCTACGAAGGGTCTTTCTTTAAGATTTATTCTTTCTTGATTTCTCCTAAGGGAATTCTTGGAACTTCTTGTGTGGTGAGAGATTATTTGTGGTGTGAGTTCTAGGTGCCTCCTATGTCCCTATTTATATAATTAAGAGTGCTAATTAGGGTCTAAGTGGCATGGGTTTACTAATTCTATTTCTTATAGGACTAAGGGATTGGCTTTAGGGATAAAGGCCCATGGACTATGGTGGACTCCTTTTAGCTAATTAATGGATTTTAATTCCCTTTTTAGGGTGGGTGATAATTTTAATTGATTTGGTTTAGGGGCCGTAACACGGGGTGTTACACTTAGACTCACCAGTAGCTTCAGTGATTATCCTAGTTGGTTGAATATTCACATGCATAGCATCCATGCTTTCATATTTCTTAAAGGCCTTGCCACCATTTTCAACGTCATCATGACTCTTGCCCCCATTGTAGAAGCTTTGAATGTGTATGTTTTGTCCACCATTAACTGTTATGCTTAACTCCATATCGTGGGCGCGACTAGATAATTCCTCAAAACTCTTGGGTTTGAGCCCTTGGAGGATTTAGGAGAGCTCGAAGTGCATGCCTTGGGTGCACTTTTCAATTGCGGAGCTCTGTGATATCTTTTCCTTGCAATTCAAGCATAACTCCCTCCATTTTTCAATGTAAGCGGCCGAGCTTTCACCATGAATGATGAACACGGGTCGAAACGGTGTCGTTTTTACGGGAAAAAAAATATTTAATTAATGTGCTGTTAAAGGCGCGTTTTTGTTCAGATTATGAATTTTCTGTTATGAGATTATTAATGTACTGTAAATTCATAATCTCATAAAAGAAAATTTATAATCGCATAAAAGAAAAACATTTATTAAATTACGAATTTTCTGTTATGAGATTATGATTTTACAGTTATGTAATTATGAATTTTCTGTAAATTCATAATCTCATAAAAGTAAATTCATAATCTCATAACAGAAAATTCATAATCTCATACCAGAAAATTCATAATCTCATAACAGAAAATTCATAATTTCATAACAGAAAATTCATAATCTCATAAAAGAAAATTCATAATTTCATAAATGTACATTCATAAATCCATGCCTGCACATTCATAATTTATGAATGTTGAAGAAACTTGCACGAAGAGGAAGTGAAACCACGAAATGTGAAAATGAAGAAGAAAATTCGCGCGGTTAATTAAGAACAAAAAAAATAAAATAAAATAACGGTGCACCGTTACCGTTGGGACCGTGTTCACCATCCATGGTGAACACGGTTCCATTGCATAACGATTGAACCAATCCTTATACCATCAACTAAGGTTCACAGTCTGTGAACCCTAGTGCATGTGTATGTGTGTCTTAAGTTGTGAGTTTTTGTGTCTTGTGTTATAAAATTCTGTACCTTAAAGTGTATGAATTTTGTAACTGAAATAAATTAGCAATTGTGTATTATGTTATGAATTTCTGTGTCTTGCATTGGGTCTATGAACACAAATTATTAACTAAATCATATTTGAAAAATAAGTAAATATATAACATGTGTATGTGTCTTTTGTTGTGATTTTTTGTCTTGTGTTATGATATTTTATACGTTACGAGTATGAATTTTGTACCTCGTCGTTTCAATTCAGGGTCCATAATGCTATGTGGACCCTAGTCTAGGATATAAATTGACTTAATTAACTAGTGAAATTCACATCATTATAGGCAATTTATATCGTGAACCTTGGTCCAATACACAGAATTTGACTTCATAATACACAGAATTCATGTTCATAATACACATACACGTAACACGATATAATGAACATGAATTTTGTACATTATGAACATGAATTTTGTGCACTATGAACATTAATTTTGCGCATTATGAACATGAATTTTGTTCATTATGTTAAGTGTTTATGTGTTCTCAGCTATATAATACACAAAATTCATGTTCACAATGCACAAAATTCATGTTCATTATATCGTGTTTATGTGTATGTGTATTATGAACATGAATTCTGTGCATTATGAACATGAATTATGTGTATTGGATCAGGATCCACAGTGCACTATGGACCCTGGTCCATGATATAACGATTGAACATTATAAACGTGGTGACAGAGTAATGGGTCAAGCACCCAACCCGAACTAGCAACAAATACCTGACCCGGTTGCAACAGAGAGAACAACGGTTATACTCCAATGGGTGGAAACATTACTACGGGTCATTTACTGCGCCCATTAAAGAAAGAGAAATAAAGGCTCAGCTCCTCATTATGGTATGACCGTTAGGGACTTGGTATAAGTAGAGCTCTCCTAGCTTAGCAGAGGACACGCTGAATATTCTGTACTCAAATACTGAAGCAATACTATCTGTTATTCTTATATTATATTTTCCGGTAACATATCTACTGTCATTGATGCTTTCATTGAGAGAAGAGATCAAATCTCAAGCAAATACGCATTTGGAAAAGAAGGCTCGTTCAGGATCCAACAGCTCCCACGGTGCCCACGGTTCCTGCAACTTGAACAATGGCAACTGTGACAACCCAAAATTTTATTTTATAAACTCGGTTTTAAGAAATTCCAAATAGCTATTTTTCACTCTATAAAAATTTTTCCGACCAAATCGGTGTTTGAATAAATTATTTTGAGCCACTTTTAAATAAATTCAACACCAGGACATGAATTAAATTTAAAAATCCTAAATTTTTGGGTACATTGCGTACCAAGTTTTGAACTGAAAATCTATTATGAGTGAAACCAGGAGAAATCTGAGAAGCCTAAATCAAGTGTTTATCTAGAAATCATTTTTGGGAAATTCATTTTAACACCAAACTATTTTAAAATCTTGATTTTAGACCTTAGTTCATGAAGCATGGTGGACCACAAGTTTACAAACACTTTGCCTGATACACTTTCTAGCCAAACCTTTTACCACTTTACCCTCCACCAGTCATTGTGTATCTTCCTAGGGTTTTGCACCCATATAAAAAGAATAGTAAGCCAATGTTGTCTCCTGATTCCACTCTTGGCTTCCCAAATTTTGAGCTCTGCAAGAACAAGACGCAACACAGTAAGGTTTCACCATTCTTTTTTATCCATTCACCTATCTCCCTTCTAGTTTTCATTCCTTCTAGCTCCCTTCTCTGAGAACTTAGTCTTAAGGTTGTTTTATGGTTTGTTTGAGATGTTTAGGAGGTGAAGGAGGGTGTAGCTAGCTTAGGAAGATGGTGGAATCCCAGCAAAAAGGAGGAATCTACAAAGGTATAACCCCATGGACTCCCATAAGCTTTTTAGACTCTGTGAAGTCTTTTTGTTTAGCTAAAATGAGTAGAAATGCTAGAATATTGATGTGTTTGAGCTATTAAGTGATCTATTGTTGATCTATGATGTGTTGTTGATGATTTCAGAGTGTTTGTTTGCCTGAAAATGTCTTGCAGGTGAAGAAGAATCTCACTGGTGCACAAAACAGTGTGCACCAGATGAGACACGGGACTAGCCAACGGCCCTAGGCAGGGACCGTTGGCAAGCCCCGTGGAGGAGCGGCCCTAGGGCACGACTCAAGGCTAGAGACGTGGCCCTAGGCCGCTGCTTGGCGGTTCCAGGCGGCGGGGCTCCTCAAGCCCCGCCACAAGCCCACTAGGCAAAGTCTGTGCAGTGGTCGGGCCCTT